CAGGCATTATCAAATGCCGCTTTGATGTCCAATGATACTGCAATTACTTTATTTTTAGCTTTTTTCTGTTTTTCAATTTCTTTCACTAGCACGTTGACAGCTTCCACTGTTGACGTTTGAGGTGTAAATCCAAATTGTTTGGTAGATAATTGATTTTCTTTATGGAGTTTCCAAATTAATCTTTTAGTAAACAATGATTCTAGAACTTTTCCCATAACAGGTAGAAGTCCAATGGGTCTATAGGACGTTAACGTATTTTCATTCCTTCCAGGCTTTGGGATCACTTTAACATGCGCCTTCTTCCACAGGAGTGGGAAATGACCAATTTCTAAACATTTGTTATATATACTTGTTATAATCAAAGGATGATACTCTGCAACCTTTAGAACAATATCTGCTGTAAGATTGTCAACTCCAGGAGCTTTTTTTGGATTCATGTTACTTATACATTCAATAAGTTCATCGTACGTAAACGTTATATCTGATTCGCAGTTAGAGTAATTTCTACATGTATTTCTTACTTGGATTTGTTCGTCTGTATCATTCAAATCGTCATCGGGATAAAAGTGGTTTATTATTGTTTCGGCTGTACATTCAGAGTTATCAGTGTAGTCGTTGTTGATTTTAAGCGTTGCATTAGGTTTTGGTTTGGGCAGATCTTTAAGAATTCTATACACATTGGACCAAACATCGTCTTTTCCTTGTTTATTTAGAAATTTGTTCCAACTTTCAATGCTATGTTTTCTTATTAAGTCAACGTACACTTTCTTTAATTTTATTAATTCATTCACAATGTAATCCGAGTGTCTTAAGAATGGGTAAATATTTATTGTACGATGTAATCTCATATAGTTCCTTTTTGCTCTTTGAATATCATTGTTCCACCAGGGGCAGATATATTTCTTACATCCCCTTATTGGTAACGTTTCGTCACAAGTTTCTCTGATTATTGAAGTAAGTAAATTGACGGCTTCTTCCAACATATTTTTATTTATAATTTTTGATACGTAATCCGTGGACATTTTATGTTGAAGTAATTTGCACTTTAACGTGTCATTAAAACGTTCCCAGTTTGCATTTTTTGTTTTGTACTTGAACGTAGACTCACTCACTGTTTTTATGTTTTCTTGTAATTTGATATTAAAACAAATGGGATTATGGTCACTTAACGTTACTAACTCATCATCCACTCTCCAATCATGAATTTTAGTTGTTAAATTATTAGTAGATATTGTGAGGTCAATTATTGATGTCAATAAATTACCACCTCTTGTTGTTTCAAATGTAGGGCAGAAACCATTATTAAGAATGTCTAGCCCTTCCGACACACAAAAATTTACCACTTTTTCACCATTAGAATCATTGATGTGTTTTCCTGTCCATAAGTGATGTTTTGCGTTAAAGTCGCCTCCTATGATAACGTGTGATTGATTTCGTCTTGCATTTGCTATTAAATTAAGAATTGGCATTATATTTGTCTTTGGCTTATTATAAACGTTTATAATTCTGATCATCGGGTTTATGTTGACTATATCCATGACAACAACGTCAGAGTTTGAAAATTTTGTTTGCATAAGGCATTTCAAGTTCTTATTTAGTATTATTATCGCAGCTCTTACTTTATCTGATGTTAAATATTGATGAACAATAAATCTACCTGGGACGTTAACGTGTCCCGTAGACGTGACATGTGGTTCTTGCACTAATATAATATCAGGTAATTCTTTAGGGTGTTCTACTTCTATGGATAATAATTCTTGAAAAGGTACGTAACTCTTTGACATATTTATTTGTACTACTTTGACGTTATCACGTCTAATCGTCTGATTTTTCGGAGCCATAGTCTGTCATATTTTCGATTTTCCTTCTCATATTTTGTACTTGTGGGCAGTTTCCGGATGTCGCAAAGTGGTCAACTGGATAAACTACGAATCCTTCCCGGTTTTTAAATTTTTCATTAATTGTATTACAATTGTGACACTTAGTATGATCTTTACTTTTTTCATGATCAAAAGTGCAGTCTTTCTTAAGGTGATTTCCAGCGCATTTAGGACATATGTCCGGTTGGCTATCTTTACAGTGTTTCGAAGTGTGACCAAAACTTAAGCATTTAAAACACTGTAAAAATGAAGAAAAATACTTGAAGTAAACTCTGTCCACGTCTACGCACAAGAACGTTTCATCTTTAAGTGTATGGAATACTGTAGGTGAAAGTTCTATGACAACGTTAAAGTAATTGTCATTTCGATGTTTGAGTCTAAAGCAGACTTTAACGTGTGACTTCGGGTCATCTGTTCCAATGATATTTCTTATCTTCGAGTTTTGGTTAACGAGGCAATTCACAATTTCATCATCTTTTAATTCAAGTTCTTTAGCCATACCTTGCAGTATAATTTTTGGGTTGTTTTTCTTTGCCACATCGGCCTTAATCTCTTTGTTGTCTTTCAATTTATTAATTATAATATCTCTTTCGGATTTACTTTTAAGATCAAGTCTATACGTATTCTTGGACAACTTACTGTGTCCAACAAATCCACAATTTATTGTTTTCGGATCTATGTTTTTCCTAAACTTTTTCATAACTTCGACGTGATTATCTGTCGGCGTTAGGGACTTGAGTACAACAGAGTACCTTTGTTCTTTTTGTACGTCTTTATCGTCCATAATACGTTGACGTTCTCTCGTTACCTTTTCTGCCGCAACATTGGCGTATGATTTAAACGTTGACGTTGACGTTTGCTTTACTTTTATCTCATTAATCTCTTTTTGCATATTTTCTTGACTTTTATGAATTTTTCTGATTTCCATAAGGAGTTCATTACAGATAGAAGTGTTTTCCATTGGATCACTCGTTTGTGATGATTGGGTCTCATTTTTTAATTGAGCTTTAACTATCAATTTTCGTATTTCATTAGCGTATCTTATCAGGCGATCCATTTCTGCGATGGCTTTTTCCTTATCACCTTGTCTCATTTTATCAGCACTTAAAGGGGTTTTAAGGAGGAGCGCTACTTCAGTCATATAATCCGCTATTTTAAGTATCCTCTCTTGAGCATCGGCTGCAACCGATGCCTCTTTTATGGCTTTTGCTACTTTTTTCCCCTGAACTGTAGAATTGAGTGAACTTTGGGATCCCATAGGTATACCTGTTTCACCACGTGACTTTGACGGTGGGACAATATCCATGTTACTATCTCCTGTTGCTGTGTCGTCAGCAATGACAACTTCAGTTGTTTTCTTAGTAGAGTCCGCTTCTTTACTCATATTCCTTCAATTAAACTTCACTTTTCGACTTTAACGTGTAAAGATCGAACGTAAAATTTTATTGATCTGAATACGTACTTATTATATAAACATAAGACGTTTACGTAAAACGTTTAAAATAAATGTTGACGTACAACGTTAACATAAAGCGCTTACTCAACGTAAGCGTAAAACGTTGTCGTAAAACGTTGACGTAAAACGTAAAATGTTAAGTAACTCACTCTGTTATAAGAAATAACAACTAAATATGTAAACACACGCTTTTGCCGATTTTGTTTCCGCTGTTATTATGGCGGTCAGGTCACGGCCGGAAAAACAGAGTATATGTTTAGATGCTCAATACGATGGACAAACTTTTGCGGGTCTTCGCCACTCTCGGGCGCGGTTATAAAGCCCGAAAAACAGACCCACTTTTCCACTGTATTATTACTGTATGTATATGTCCTCAGTCGGTAAACAGCGATTCCAAGGCTTCTCCTACAAAGCTGTTTCGGTCAATTGTTTGGCGGCGATACTCATCGGCCAACCTGTTGTGGACGGACTATCCAGGCACGGGTAATCAAACCTCGGCACAAATTAATATGTTAATACAATGTTATATACAGTACTTTTAAGGCACAAAACAAAAACTGGCCGCAATTTGCGGCGGGTTCGGCGGATCCGAAATTTTCTTTCAACACCGTGTTTAGGAAGTGTTCCGACACACGATCCGACACATCAAACGCGTCCAAACGATGATCGGTGTCCAACTTTGCGGTACAACTCGGGAGCAAATTTTAGACGTCTACTCACGTAGGACGTCAACGTTGGTGGGTTAGGTTAGGTTAGGTTAGGTTAGGTTAGGTTAGGTTAGGTTAGGTTAGGTTAGGTTAGGTTAGGTTAGGTTAGGTTAGGTTAGGTTAGGTTAGGTTAGGTTAGGTTAGGTTTTTTTTTTTTTTTTATAATTTGCATAAACGTTTTATTAGTTTTCATTTAATGTTTACAATTAATTGTAATAATTCTTATAAGTTTAAGTTTAAAGTGATATTATAAAATAAACATATAGTAATAATAAATCATAGTATAATATAAACGTATAATATAAAGTAAAATAATACTTAAAGTATTACAAACAATATAATTTTACAAAATCAAAGTATAATATAAACGTGTAATTATAAAGTAAAATAATAGTTAAAGTATAATAAACAATATTGTATTACAAAATCAAAGTATAATTATAAAGTATGTTATTGTCGTATAATTTATAAGTAATAAAAATATTATATAAACAAAGTATTTTTATGTAATATAATTTTGAAGTAGAATAAGGCAGTTTCACGTTGACGTATCCATAGACGTGCGCATTATGCGGTGAGATGTTATGTTGAAATTCAATGTGGGTATCGTACGTCAACTTTATATTAATGTTGTATTGATATGTATGGGTGAATATAACGTCGAAATAATACGTATACATTTAAATGATAATAATTAGATATAAATCTTTGGTTATATAAATATAATGTTATCAAAATTTTCTGAATATAATGACGTATCAAAGTTATAATAATAATAATAGACTACAAAATATTATAACATTAGTAATAGTTAATACATATGGCAATTTATAACGTTTCAGTATTATTATAATTATATAAAATAGGAAAATATTCAATTTTAGATCATATTGAGATCATTTAGTAATAATATTAATATTTGTTAACATTTTCTCTTGACTATTAGAGTCACCGGTTATATTATAATACTAAATTACTTAAACAAAGATTATTATGAGTTTAATAATTATATAAGGCATAAAATAGATCATTTGATTATTTACCGTGGCACGTCAACGTGCAACTTACACGTCTCACTTATTGAGAAAATGTTACCGTGATCTCTTTGTTGATTTGTCAATAGTTATACGTCGTCGTCCGACGATCCGACGTTGATCTTTAAATTCTTCGATTCCAACTTAGGTTTTTTGGTTTTTGATCTCCTAATCGATTCCAGCTCTGAGACTTCTTTATCTCCTTTTTCATCTCTGGCATCTCTTTTCAGTCTTCTCGAGTAAATCTTTTGCCATACCACCATTTCTTCATCTCTTTCGTACAATGCTTTGGCTTTAAATTTGTCGGCGGGGATTGTTTTATAATTGGTGGGCTTTCCGACATACGGTACTTCTCTATGAAATCTTGCATAATGGGATTTCATAGTACAACTGGTCGAGAGGTAATAAAAGGGGCAGGCAAATTCCTCCCCTTTTGTTTCACCGGGTTTTGGATCCTCCATCAGTTTGCCAATGCAAACATGAAGTGTGATGTCCCTTCCTTGATATGGATGACTTTTGTGAGGTTTTCCTTCTTCTTTGGTATTATGGCTTGTCTTATGGGTCGCAATATCAGTGTTCTTCGGAATTTTTGACGTTGACATACTAAGTCTATTCGATTTTTTGTCGTTTACGTGCGACGTTGAAGTGCTGGACTTGCCGATACTTGACTTTGATACGTTGCCGTGGGACGCCGAAGTACTAGGTTTGGTTATACTTTTATGTAATACGTTGCCGTGAGACTTCGACATTTTATTTAACTTTTCAACCATTTTTGTTGTTGTCTTCGGAGTATCATTATTTCCTGAAATCAATTCATCTTCTTCTTCAATAATGTTGTTGTCCGTCATTTTTTCGAGGTTGGCTTTTGCCTCAGCCAGGACCACAGCAGAATTACTGGGGCCAACATTAACCCACTTCGCCTCGTACGTCGGTACTGTGACAAAATCGTCGAGAACCATATCGTGTCTGAATTTAGAAAATTTGGCGGCCTCTCCTCTCATCTTCTTAATAGCTTCATTTGTAGCGTCTCTGACGTCTGCAGCCGACGTGAGGGCATCAATAACTACAGCAAAGTCTTTGTGTTTATTAATAATATTATTCAGGGCTTCCAGCAGATCAGCGTTGATATTCTCCGTAAACTTGAGACGTGCTTCAATTTCTTTGGTATACTTCGTTAGTTCTTTACATCTTCTATAATAATCGGTGTCCACTAAAGCTATGCTGGTCTTGAGCTCACTTTCATTATCAATCCGACGGGTATTTCTGACTTCATTCATTTCTTTCTGTCTTCGAATGATTTCATTCAATTTTTCTTCGATTGTGCCGCTTTTCGCGACACTAGAGAGCGGAGTAATATTTGTCTCCATCGATAAGCAAGACGTTGACGGCACATGAAGATTATCAACGTCTTTAATTAACACTGAAGTGGACGTTGAAGTAATACGTGAACTAATCATGTTAACGTCTTTATTAGCCGTTGACTTAAGAGGAATATCTGTATTATCCACTCTTTCATTCATTACATTGACTTCCTGTGGTGTTTTATTGTCTACTATCTTCAGTTTTACCACTCTATTATCATCCACCGCGATATCAGTTGGTAAGCTGTGGTCTGTAATGCCTTCGATGGTTGTTCCTCTTTTGTTGCCATCATATGCAATGCCCGTCAAATCACTTTCGTGTTTCACTTCCTTTTCTTCAACCGTCTCCTCATTGATTGACTTGTTATCAGAGTCCTCACCTCTATCTCCCTCTTTTTCATCAATAATGAGATCAGTTTCGGTTGATGTCGATTGTGAAGACATATCAAAATTAGACGGCATGTGTGGTACGGCGTTTAAAAGGCGATTAGTTTCCTCCTCCGAATCCGACATGTCTTGAAGGTGTTATATCACTACACGGTTTTAAGATAATGATTATTAAGATAATGATACGAAATGGTTATTAATATCCACAAAGTTGTTGTTTATGTGTTTAAAGTCAATTGTTAATTAAAAACACGTTTTGGCGGCAGTAAAAACAAAATGTCTTCTTTAATTGGTTTTAAGGTTCACAGATGGCTGCATCTTCCTGTAACTTATTAGTATAACTACAACATAATACTTGCACGTATTATGCAAACATTACATGTGTTCGTAGCACTTTGACATTTAATGTCGTTATAAATAAACACTTTTTTAATTGGTTTTAATAGTTTTAATTGTTATGTCATTAATTAATTATAATTAATTATTCCTTTTATCTCTTACCTATACTTATTTCTCATAACAAAATATTCAATTTTGATTACAATAAAACATCACTACCGCATCACGTGTTCACCACAATAATAGATTTAATTAATTAATTTTGGTTCTCGGGTGTTGTAGGAATGTTGGCATAGACGGCCGCCATGATTCGGGCCCGTCTAGCATCGCACTTGGTTTTATTATTTTTAGCCGCCGAAGCTCGGCCCGAATAGTTAATATTTCTCATTATACTTATGTATTCACTTGTTATTGTTGTGATCACAATGTGCACTAAACCAGAGAAGTAAACTGAATGACTAACCCTTTGTTTCGTATAAATTGCTAATAATTTCGGTATTTGCAGACTTTAACCCTTTCCGTTGAGTCCAATTTATTTTTATATTTGAAATTCAGGTATGTTTCAAATCAATATGTTTTCTTATGTCTTATTCTTAAGGTATCGAATTTCTTTTCCGTTTGAATTTCATGATATTGCGTAATGGTAAAAATTCCAAACCGTGATATTTCCACGTGCACGTCAAGATAATAATTATCCGTATTATTTGAACGTTTACTTTCAATTTATATGTATATAATATTATGCTATGTCATATATTAATATATAATATCACTAACTCACTAACTAAATGTTAAAAGTTTTAGCCCCGCAATGGGAAGCGGGGTCATATATATTTCAAAATATTTGATGCGATTTATAAATTATATAGCGTTGTTGTTATCATTATAATTCTTTAATTTGTTAACAATCACCTTGATATAATCCAGAAATATATCCATTGTCTCTTTTTTCTTTATTATAATATCAAAGTTTTCAAGACTTGTATCGTATACGTTTAGTTTCAACTTTGACATTTCACGTTCGAGTACAAAGTAATGGCAGTAGAATAATAAATGTTCTATACTCTGTACGGTGACTTTGTCGCACCCGCATATATTACTCTCTTTGATTTTAAATCTGTACAGATATTGAAGTGAATACGAGTGTCCAGAAAGAATTTGAGATAATTCAAAATTAGGCAGAGATACTTTATGTAACTGTAGTATATGATCTATTGATGGTAAAAATTTCTTAGTAAGTCTACCAGTCAATGAGTTATTATATTGTTCATTCCATATCTTAATGGACTCCGCCTTTATTTTTTTCTTAATTGTATTTAAGGATACGTAGTTATATTGAATAGGTAAACTAAGTTCGGCTGCCATTTTAGCCATAGAATCGGCTTCATCATTGCCCTCAATTCCCGTATGTCCCCTTACTAAATGAAGTTTCACGTTGACGTTACACGTTCTGATTTCTTTAATGTTTTTATGAATTCTATTAATAATGGGATTTGTGTTGCTCCTCTGTTTAAGTGCTAACAGTCCTGATAAGGAATCCGTGTACAAATTTATTACTTTAGTATTAACTGTTTTACCAAACTCTAACGCTTTATCCATCGCGACCAGCTCTGCCTGAAAAACTGTACATTCCGTTGATAACTTGATAAGCTTGTCACGCTGTCGTGCTCCATATGTTTTAAAAGAGCAACCAACACCTGCATTTGTTTTACAACCATCAGTAAAGATATTAAGTTCATCAGGCAAAGTTATTATTTCTTTTGGGTCTTCTATTCTTATAAAATCAACGTCAATTCTTTCCGCTGGGTGTTCCAGTTCCGTGAATTTCGCACGTCCTTCGAGATAGTATATTTGATTCGTCCCTTCATCAGACGTAAACGTAGACGTCCAATGTCTTTCTCTTTTCAACCTTTCTATTTTGGCAATTTCATGTATTTTTATATCGATTGGCATAAAGTTTGCTATCACAAGTGCTGATGTCGTTGACGTTGTATGAAAGCATTTACCGCATCTGATGGCAAATGCCCTTTGAAATTTTTCAAGTTTTTTCCTTATATATTTATATTTCAAAGCCTTTTCCCATATCATGCATCCGTACAACAAACCGGGTTCTATTGCTCTCTTATAAATAGTTTGGACGACCTCCGATGACAGGCCCCACGTGGGTTTTACAAGTCTCGTCAAATGTTTATATACTTTCATACATTTGTCCGTAATGTAATGAACATGTGCTGTGAATTTTAAGTCTTTATCAATAATAATGCCTAAAAGTTTTATTTTGTCATTGCACGTTAACGTAATACCAGACATCTCAACGTTGAAGTTATGCGTAGGTTTTGTAAAAGATATTAATTGCGTTTTTTCAGCGCCAAACACCAGTTTTGCTGAGTTACCCCAGTTTGAAATAATTTGAAGGGTAGTCTCAATGTTGTTTTTCAAAATATGTTTGTCTTTATGATGTCCCAGCAAGATAACATCATCAGCAAATGCCTGTATGTGAATACCTTCTGGGAATGGTATGTTTAATAATTCATCAATTATAACGTTCCAGAATGTCGGTCCGCAGACCGATCCCTGAACACATCCTTTGGTAACAGTTTTTTTGACCGTGACATCATTATATTTCATGCAGACTTTTCTATTGGAGAAGTAGGAGTTGATTAACTGGAAAGTGTTTTGTCCAATTTCTTTTGCTTTAAGCCCGTTTAAGATGAGTGGCCACCAGGCGTTATCAAACGCCGCTTTGATATCAAGAGAGACCGCTATAACTTTCATTTTCTTTTTCTTTTGTTTCTCTATTTCTTTAAGTAGTACGTTGACAGCTTCCACTGTTGACGTTTGGGGCGTAAAGCCAAATTGTTTAGTTGAGAATCTGCCTTCTTTATGCAGTTGCCATATAAGTCTTTTAGTAAAAAGAGATTCTAATAACTTTCCCATGACAGGTAGAAGTCCTATGGGTCGATATGACGTTAACGTATGCTCATTTCTCCCTGGCTTTGGAATGATTTTAACATACGCTTGTTTCCATTGACGCGGGAAATGCCCAATATCAAGACATTTATTGTATAAGTTTGTAATAATATAAGGATGATATTCAGCAAATTTTCTAATGATGTCTGCAGTCAAATTATCCAAACCAGGGGCTTTCTTTCCATTCATATTATTTATACATTCCATGATTTCATCATACGTGAACTTTACATCTGACTTGTGAGACGAATAGTTTCTACATGTATTTCTTATGTTAGTTTGTTCATGTGTATCAATCATGTCGTCATCTGGATAAAAATGGTTTATTATTGCTTCAGCTGTGCATTCAGAATTATTTGTGTAATCATTATTAATTTTAATAGTGGCGTTGGGTTTCGGTTTAGGTAAGTCTTTAAGAATTCTGTATACATTTGACCAAACGTCATCCTTTCCCTGCTTTTGTAAAAAGGAATTCCAACTATCAATACTATATTTCTTTATTAAGTCCACGTATGTTTTTTTTAATTTTATTAATTCATTTACAATATACTCTGAATGTCTCAGGAAAGGGTAAACATAGATTGTTCTATGCAGTCTCATATAGTTTCTTTTTGCTCTTTGAATTTCATCATTCCACCAGGGGCAAACATATTTTTTGCACCCCCGTATAGGTAAAGTTTCGTCACATGTTTCTTTAAGTATTTCCGTGAGCAAATTAACTGCTACTTCCAACGTATTTTCGTCTGTAATTTTTGAGACGTAATCATCAGTCATGTTATGTTGAAGTAATTTGTACGTCAACGTATTATTAAAACGTTCCCAATTAGCATTGTGGGTCTTATATTTAAACGTTGTATCACTCATTATTCTAATGTTCTCCTGGAGTTTAATATTGAAACAAATAGGGTTATGGTCGCTTAACGTAATCAACTCTTCGTCTACTCTCCAGTCGTATATCTTTGTTGACAGGTTATTAGAGGATAAAGTTAAGTCAATTATTGACGTCAATACATTTCCATCTCTTGTAGTTTTAAACGTAGGACAATACCCCGTATTTAAAATGTCAAGTCCTTCTGATACACAGAAGTTAACGATTTTGGTGCCGTTGGAGTCATTAACGTGCTTTCCTGTCCATACATGATGTTTGGAGTTAAAGTCTCCACCTATTATGACATGCGATTGGTTACGACTAGCATTGGCTATCAAATCAAGTGTAGGCATAATATTTGTTTTTGGTTTGTTGTAAATATTTATAATTCTAATTTTTGGTTTAGTGTTGACAACGTCTATGACAACGACATCCGAATTTGAAAGCTTTGTTTGCATGAGGCATTTTAGGTTTTTATTTAATATGATTATCGCTGCTCTTACTTTACCTGACGTTAGATTTTGATGTACAACATACCTCCTTGGGACGTTAACGTGTCCCGTAGGCGTAAGATGTGGTTCTTGTACTAAAATAATATCTGGCAATTTTTCAGGATGTTCAACTTCTATGGACAATAATTCTTGAAACGGTACGTAACTTTTTGACATATTAATCTGAACTACTTTGATGTTGTCACATCTATTCATCTGATTTTTCAGATCCATAATCGGTCATTTCTTCAATTTTCCTTCTCATATTTTGCACTTGTGGGCAGTTGCCCGATGTCGCGAAGTGATCCACTGGGTAGACCACAAATCCTTCACGGTTTTTAAATTTCTCATTTATTGTGTGACAGTTATGACACTTTGTATGGTCTTTGCAGTTTTCGTGATCAAAGACGCAATCTTTCTTGAGATGATTTCCAGCACACTTCGGGCAGATGTCAGGTTGATTTTCTTTACAGTGTTTTGACGTATGGCCAAAACTCAGGCACTTAAAACATTGTACGAATGACGAGA